GGGCCCCTCATTGTGCAGAGGGAGTTGGAGAAAGGAATTATTCTTGGCCATCTCTCTGTGGATTTCTCCAGCACCACCGCCACCCACTCCTGTCTGTGCCTCGAGCTAGGAGTAGTTGTTCTGTTGCAGCAGCAGCAGCACCAGAGAGGAAAGGTGTGATCTGCAGGCAGCAGCTCTCATTAAAGAATGAAGGCCTGAGGTTTGAAACCACAACAAAATGGACTTTGGGAGCAATGCTTTCTTGTGATGTTGTCCCTGGCTGATTTCTCCTGAGGTTTTTCTTTTGGCCTCTGCAGTCTATATAGGAAGGAGGGTGGTTTTGCCAGGTTCTTTTTAACAGGACAGATGATGTTTGTTCGTTCAGTGTCTCTGGAAGACAGCTAAGGTACTGATTTCCAAACTGACGCATTAGTTGTGTACTAGTGAAACCTAGCAGGATAGGATTTGGGGCTTTTGAGTCTTGGTTGCGAAGGCTTTCCCCTGACTGGAAAGAGACAGTTGTGTACTATATTGAAAGTGATAAAAAAAAAAATCCCTGTTTCGCTTGCCTGGCGCCTTCAGTAGCATTCTTTTGTCCTCATCACTGCCAGAAGACCTATAGCAGTGATGGCGAACCTTTTAGACACCGAGTGCCCAAACTGCAACCCCAAACACACTTATGCATTGTCGGGTGCCGGGTGGGTGTGGCCCATTGGCTGGGTGTGGCTGCGATGGTAACTGCAGACTGGGTGGGACTAAAAAGTTCATTCAATCAATTCCAACTTTGCAAGATCTTTTTTGAAATTAACTGATTGAACCTTTTTTTTTTTTTTTTTGCACACGGCGGCGGAGGCCTAAAGTAAAAAGGTTTTATAAAACTCAGCTGAAGGCCTAGGACTGGGACGACGGCGTGCGTGCCCACAGAGAGGGCTCTGAGTGCCACCTCTGGCACCTGTGCCATAGGTTCGCCACCACTGACCTATAGGAAATTCTACTACTAATCCAGTGTTTGTCAACCTAAGCAGCTTTAGGATATGTGGACTATGACTGTCAAAATGACTTGACTGGGAAATTCTGAGCATTGAATTAGTTACTGAAGTTGAGAAATACCAAGCTAATGTCTTAACCCAGTGTTTCTCAACCTTGACAATTTTAAGGCATGTGGACTTCAACTCCCAGAATTCCACAGCCAGCAATGCTGGCTGTGGAATTCTGGGAGTTGAAGTCCACATGCCTTAAAATTGTCACTGTTGAGAAACACTAAAATTGGCAGAAATTAGAACTTTCTTCTTTGAGAAAAGCAGTAATGGTTTTCCCCATTATAATTTGAATGGCCAAATCCTGTGAAAAGTGCCTTTCCATACCTGGTTGCAAACCTTTTTATTTCATTGTTGGCATTTCCCAAGCGTACCCAAGGGAAACTCAGGTACAAAGTGCCAATTTTGTGTATGTTTCAATAAACCCTAAACTCATTTGATGATTATTTCCCCTGCATTTGAATATCAGCCTTGGTATTGTTAACCCTATATTTGGGATAAGATGGCAACAAAAATAACTATGGTGTGGGTTTCCATTGTGGAGAAGACTGTGAAATCCCTTCTTGGCTTAGATCAGGGGTGGGCAACCTTGGCTCTTTTATGACTCGTGGACTTCAACTCCCAGAATTCCTGAGCCAGCCATGCTGGGCCAGGAATTCTGGGAACTGAAGTCCACGAATCCTAAAAGAGCCAAGGTTGCCCACCCCTGGCTTAGATCATTCACTATTATCTGAGACTAGTCCATTTCTTTTAGTTTCCTATATCTGGGGAGGGGAATAGCGATGACTTGCCTAACACTCACAGGACTCAATTGAATAGGTGAGATTTATGCATTTTATGCTATCTACAAAAATAGTGCATGATCATAAAGTGAAAGAAATGAGATTCTTTCATGTGGAAGAACTATGCGGAAGGCTCTTCTCATTATTAGGAGGGAGATTTCCAGATTACATAACATGTAAAGGTTAAAAATCGGGGGCTTTCTGTTTGGTATCTGAGTGCTGCTGAGTGCTGCTGCAGTCAACAGAGGAAGCTGGTTATTAAGATGGTTTTCAAATGTTGACAGGCTCATGGAGAGAGAGATATTCATTGACAACTGTCATTTCTAATGATGGATCCTTAGGGACAGATGGAAAAAAAAATCTGATTTGGGTAGAGATAGCACTTCTTTTAGGACCAATAGAAGAGATTATAAGTAGCTCAGAGTTGAACTGTGGTATCCTTGTGCTCTCTGAATTTGGTTGTTTATTTATGCTCCTTCAAAAAATCAAAATGCCTTTAGAAAATAAAATGCTGTCAGAAAATATAGTGCATCCAGAAAATCAAAGACCTAAAAACTGAGGAAGATGAAATTATGGTTTCATTCAAAGTGACAGCACTCTTTATGTCTACACATCCAGTACTAGTGAAAGAATCCATAGCAACAGTACTATGCAACATACCTGACCTAGCCAATACACTAAGATTGAAATGCCCAAAATCACGATCCTCATTAACCTCTGCCTCAGTACTTTCAGTTAAATGGACAAAAAATTAGAAGAACACCTGTGTGATCATCTCAGCATCTAGAAACTATAGCCCTGCCATACGTATAACCACAAATATAAATTCAGTATGTAGATGACAGCTTAACATCATGATAAAGATGGCCCGATTAAAGAAGACACATGAAAACAATCAGCAATAGCCTCAAAGGAATAAAATTCACAAGGTAAGGAAAAAAGCTAATAACACACTGCCCTTCTTATCCTCATCATCAGAAAAAAATGACAGCAAATTAGAAAAAAAATCTATTGGAAAACAACCCACACTAACCAAGTGCTCCATTACCAAAGTAACAACCCAATCTTTCATAAGAGAAGCTGTGAGGACATTATTCAAATGAATATAAATGCATCGTGGCAACCCAGAATGCCAGAAAAAGGAAACAGACTTCCAGCTTTATCAAAAAGTAGCTGATCACTTAATTCACTAAAGCACCACCAACACAGGCTATGTAAAAAGCAACACATCAAAAGCATCTGAGCCAGCAGTGTGCTGCAGCTGCCAAAACAGCCAACATAGTGCTAGGCTTCATTAACAGAGGAGTAGAATCAAGATCACGCAAAGGGTTAATATCACTTTATAATGCCTTGGTAAGGCCACACTTGGAATACTGCATCCAGTTTTGGTCACCACAATGTAAAAAATATGTTGAGACTGTAGAAGGAGTACAGAGAAGAGCAACAAAGATGGTTAGGGGACTGGGGGCTAAAACATACAAGGGACGGTTGCTGGAATTGGGTATGTCTTAATGAAGGGAAAGACAAGGGGTGACATAGCAGTGTTCCAATATCTCAGGGGCTGCCACAAAGAAGAGGGAGTTATTCTCCAAAGTACCTGAAAGCAAGACAAGAAGCAAAGAGAGAAGCAACCTAGAACTAAGGAGAAACTTCCTGACAGTTAGAACAATTAATCAGTGGAACGACCTGCCTCCAGAAGTGGTGAATGCTCCAACACTGGAAGTTTTTAAGAAGAGACTGGACAGCCATTTGTCTGTAATGGTATAGGGTTTCCTGGCTGAGCAGGGGGTTGGACTAGATGATCTCCAAGGTCCCTTCCAACTTTATCATCATCATCATCATCATTATTATCTCAGAAACAACCAACGGATTATTACAACACATGGTATCACCATAGTACACAAACCAACTCCAAAACATGTTAAGTAAATCAAAAGACTCCAAGAAGACAAAAAACAGAGATCATCTACAACATGCATTGTAAGAACTCACTCACAGTCAAAAGACACAATGAAAACTCCTTGATCATACAATACATAGACAGACTCAGCCATAGTTTGAGGGGGAAACTGTGAGCATCTTAGACCAAGCTAAATCCAAAATGCTAGGGAATTTCTGGGAGCTTGGCATTCAGACGAATCAATCATCAATAGATACCTAGTCGATAAAAATAGAAGAAAACAAAAAGACCAGAACATATGTCCAGAAGCATATACTCAGATAAGCAGGGATGAACACCAGACTATCAAGCAGAAAACAATACCCTAATCAAGGAACTACCAAACAGACAATCATGCCCTTACCAATACTGGCAGGGCAAACTATTATATATAAACAGAGGAAAAAACTTCACACCGAGTAACACAGATGTTGCTCTTTAGTCATGTGATGAAATAATTGCAAGCAAACAGCTCAGAGAACATAAAGGACTCCACTTCTTTTAGGAAGTTATTTCTTATTTTTTACATGGACTCAGTCTGTAACAAGCAAATTTGGCATGGGTTCCTACATTGAGAAATATGAAGCCAGAAATGAAAAACAAAACAAGCATGCTTCACACAGATGTTCATATTTGTTTTTAATATCTATTCATTACTAATCACACTTATCTCCTAACCATTTTGAATATTAAAATTGTCATTAGTATTAATTGTCTATCAGACCTGAGACCAGTATGAATCCCAACAGCATATTTTTCATAGCATGAAGATAGAAATAGTTTTTGGAAACTATTCACAAATAACAAGCCTGCTTCTCTTTTAAAGAGGAGGAGCTGAAGGAACTATTGGACATTTCTAAAATGCATTATGGAATGCTCCCCCCCCCCCGATTCGCATAGTTAGCATTTTGAACTGATTTCTAAGGCTAACAAGGGAGAACCTTGAATTGTTGAACAAAGGGGTATGTGTGATATACATGGTACACCTTCTGTAAGCTAAAGTCACCTTCCTTTAAATGTGCCAACCGGACTGGGATGGTATTTATGGAAAAGCGAATTGTCTTGCAATAACAGTAATTCAGTGAAAATCTGCCGACTTTCAAGATCTGCAAATGAGTCTGAATAAACTGAGGTCTAATATTGCAAGTTTGTGTATGATCTAAGGAGAAAGAGGATGTTATTAATATTTGGCTCGTTCCTCTTGCTTCTCAGACCTAGTAGCTTTTCCTGTCTAACTGATTCCCATCCTCCTTGCATCCACAGAGATCCACGGAGTGCCACGGTCCCGGCAGTTGCAGCCTGCACGTTCTCTCCCAGGGCCTTCCCACTGCCTCAAGCATTTTCCTGTTGACCTACGGACCTCCATGGATGGCAAGTACAAAGAGCTTGCTGAGGTAGATCTGCTTATTCCTCACCAGTTGTGTGTGCGGGTGCACTGTTCACTGTAGAAGAAAGGCTGTAAAATGAACATGTTAAAATCATGCAATTTTTCTTGGGTTGTTTTCCTTAATATTAAAAAAGACCATTTGTCATTCTATTTGGAGAAAATTGTTTTGAATTCATGTGGTTCTCTAGCATTTATAGGAGAGAAGGGTTTACTGGAGAAAATGGATTTAAAGTGTATTAGTAAAGAATTGCTCTTGAAGCAACTTATTTTTGGATCCCAGAAATAAAAGCCGAACAAGAGTTTTTTGTCCATTCACCTTCTACTCTGAACTCCCCAAAGTATGCACCAGAAGCCAGCCACTGGAGATGATAGGATTGTAATCTAATACAGGTGGTCCTCATTTAACAGCCACTCATTCAGTGAACTTACAATGGTGCTGAATGAATGGTAGTTAAGATTGCTCCTTGTACTTAACGGCTGTCACCTGGCTCACAATTATAAAATCTCAGCATCCCACGGTCCGTGATTGCAATTTGTGAACTTCCCTGCTGGCTTCTGACAAAGGAAAGCTGACAGAAATTTGCAAGTCATGATCACATGATGACCTATTTCAGTTAGCCGTGCAGTCATCACTCAGGACAGACAGCAATTGGGACTATCGGAACTGCCGTCACTAAGCAGCCTGGTCATGAGGGGTTTTTTGACAAGTTGGATAGGCTTCATACACTACACTGTAGTATAGTGTTTCTCAGACTTCACATCTTGGTGGAGAGTGGGAAATGTTAGCGAATGCTAGCTGGGGGATTCTGGGAGTTAAAGTCACCTCATCTTTCAAGCTGGGAAGATTGAGAAACACTGTGTTAGGTTATGTAACACTTCTGCCTTACTTTCATAGGAAGCATGTAAGAGCTTGTTTACTTGGCAGTTCCTTGATGTTGACAGATCAGTGTGTCTAAAACATACTGGATAAGGAATGCTCCTGGGTGTGGCTTTGACTTTATTAATCATTGATGTGTTCTTTGATGACCTGAACAATGAGAAGCAGCAGTTATAAGATTCATCCAACAGCCAACACTGGAACAATTTTAGATTACTGCAGTTATGACCTCAATGTAAATTACTATCCTAATCAAGGGTACATCATGTTATAGTTTTCTAATCCATTGAGCAGCAAAACTTTCACTGATGTTGGCATGAGATTCTAGTCCTGGCACATTGTCCCAGAACAGCCTTTAATGGACTCCTCAGATGGTTGTTTCTTAAGCATAATAGAAATTTCCTTCCCTTATTTATTTAAAACATTTATATACAGGTAGTCCTTGACCTACGATTGATTGCTTAATGACTGTTCAAAGTTACGACAACTCCCTCAAAGGTTACTTATGACCCAGATTTGAATTGCAGCAGCCACCCGCTCCCTTCAATCATGTGACTGCACTTTGGGCACTAAGCAAATGGTTTAAACTTCCCATAGTCATGTGACAGCATTTTACAACCGTTTTGCCGAAAACCAGTGTTTACTTCCTGTTTTTGGCAACACTGGCCTATAGCAAACCGTTGCTTTATTTAACAGCCATGGCATTTGCTTAACAACCACCACAAAAAAGATCAGTTACATGGCTGACTTGATTTATGGTCAACCCAACTTATAATTGTAATGGACAGGTTCCATTATGGTAACTCAAGGACTACCTGTGGCTGCTTGTCTTATACCAAATTCTGGGTAGCTCCAACTAAAGAATTAAAACCACATAAAAACCATATTAAAACTATAAAAATCATAAATACTAAAAAAAAAACCTGGTGCCAAGTCAAGCTTCTAACATGCTGTCCCCTCATCCTATCCCAGCACAAGGGTTTGGCAGGGGGAGCCAAGTCTTCAGTGCTTGTTGGAAGGCTAGGAGGATAGAGTCCTGAGGAGTGTTTATAAGGCAGGGGCTGCCACAGAAAAGGCATGCTTTTTGGTTCCCTTAAGGTGGCAATGTTTAAGGGGAGGGACTAGGAGCCTGCCCATCCTATCTAATCCCATAGAATGATTAAGACCTTCATTGAAGTTGCATGCACACCTGTATGGATATTCCAGTAGCATTGTGCTGCTATGCTTGCAGGAGTTGTTTTGTCACTCATTGGCTGAGAGTGAAATGCGCAGTGCTCCCTATGAATTCCCAGAAGACAGCCCCATTGAACAGCTAGAAGAGAGGCGCCAACGGTTGGAGCGGCAGATAAGCCAGGATGTGAAGTAAGTTGCCAATGTTTTTTGGACTTTTCCTAGCTTCTCCTAACTCCTTTTGATATTTGAAGAGCAGGATGGAACATTTCACTGGAGTTTTTGGAAAAAAAGAACAGGATGGTAAGAATATTTGAAACTGGGAAAGATGGGAAGAAATTAAATGGATTTTTTTCAAATGGATTATTTAAAGTCTAGAACAGGGGTGTCAAACTCGTAACGGCATGTGACATATCGCGACGTATCATGATTTTTTCTCCATTGCTGGCAATGGGGTGGGCGCGGTTTTAGCGTGACGCATCCAGTCCTCAGGCTGGCAGTTTGACACCCCTGGTCTAGAAAAAGTGTGATAGAGACTTTGGAAATATCCAGGAATGTCATTTCATTGCTTCTACTTCTGCAGTGATAGTAACCATCATGTCAAGAGAAGCATTCATATAGTCATCTGTCAGTGGCATGACTGTGTGTCTATGTGCATATATGTGTGTGGCTGATATTATTACACTTTGCTTGTCCTGCATACAGTTTTCTTACTGTTAGATTGTCACTGATAAGATTCTTTAGCAACTAGCCACTATACAACATGCAGAAAATATCTGGGTTTTATCTACCTCCATCTTGCTGTATTTTCCTATAGTCCGTTAGAGACCCGAACAGGGAGAAGAAACAGCATGGTGGAATAATGGCATATTTGGCCATTAGGATCCTGCAGGTGTTTACTTCTAGCCAGAATCTCACTTGTGAAGGGCTGCAAAGTATCAGAGCTATTTCTTCAGTGGTTCAAGCCAGGGCCTCAATATGAGGGGGGACATTGTTTAGGCAGAGGAAATGGAAGGTACCAGTTGCCTGTTTGCCTGCCTGATGCCTGGCAACCAGTGGTGCACTTGTGATTCTCTGAAGAAGGAAGAGGGAATTGCAGAGGTGAGACAGAAGAAAAGATCCATTGGATGGAAAAAACTTAGGGAGAAGGAAGACAATAGGTAGAACATGGTTTGCTGTAGAGATTAATGCATGTGAACAGTTGAACAATTAGAAGGCAGTCTACTCACTGGGAAAAAAATTATTCTAGAAGCCCAGTTTTTCAGCTCCCAAAAATGCCCAGTGAGGAATGTTGTGGCAGTCTAGGAAAAGCAAACTTTTAGAGAACAAGCACAAATAGAGATCCAGGAAAATAACTTCTTAAGGAAGGTGTAAGACTTCCTTTTATTAGGGCAATATTGGAGATAAGGATTCATTCTCTTCCAGTGAAAATATTCCCACTGTCCCCAAAGTCTTTGATCTTCAGTTGTAAAGGGGCATTATATGGGTCATATGTGTATAATGAGTTTATCCCAGGAAAGAGAAAGAAGTTGAGCTATTTACCTGCCTATATCTCTTAAAGGCAGACCCTGTGAAAGGAGTTTGGGTAGAGGGTTTAGGATTGGTTTGGAAAACAAACTGGCTGGTAGTAATCAAAGAGGAGGAAGGAAGGAGGGAAGGAAATTCAAATCAAGGGAAAAGATTATGTGGGAACCAGCAGTGCTTTTCCACTAGTCAAACCAGAACGTAGTCATGGTATTTTACATGGACCTCTTAACATTCATTCTCTTTTGGATCCCACTGCTGGTATATTGCTGTATAGTGTCTGCCATTTCTGATATTGGTTTCTGCATTAATGCCAGTGTTTTTCTTTTTCTCCTCATCTTCTTTACCATTTCCTCTTCCTCTTTCTTTCTCCTCTCTCTGACTGTTTGTCCTTTTCTTGGCCTTTGCCTCCACTTCCCATTTGTCCTCAGACTAGAACCTGACATTTTACTCAGAGCCAAACAGGACTTCCTGAAAATTGACAGTGATGCCGACCTACAGTGAGTGCCTGGCCTTAATTCTCTCTGCCCTTGACTCGGGTGGGTGCGGGACTTTCCCGCAGGCTGACTCTTCTCCTTATTCCCACCTTGACTGATCCAGAGTGAGTGACCTTCTCTTTTGCAAAGTTCCATCCCCCCTGCACACACTGTATCCCACATGCAATTGTACCACCGCTGGGGATGTTGCTATTAAAATTAATTCCACAAACTGCTACGAAAACCTTAATCCACATTAAGTTAAGGCATTTTTTCCCAACATGTTGCTATCCTGTTGTTTTGGGATGATGATGGACTATCTAGCGAGCACCAGGCTGGGGAAAGGCTGAGTAAATTTCATTGGGAGGATTCATATAGAACCAGAGTTCAGAATGGAAATGAAGTTACTCCCGGAAGTGAATTTGTCCTCCAAGAAAAGTTTGGTATGTTAGAAGAAAGACCACTTCTGGAAAGGAAAGGCTAAAGTCAGTTGCCATATTGAAATGCTTATCTGTGTGTGTCACTTAAGCAAACTCTTTTGAGAAAAAAGCCTATCTAAGATTGAAAAATAGGGGAACCATTTTATTTTGAACAAGACCAAATATTATTGGGCTAAACCAAACCTCGTTTTATTTTTTGCATCTTCCAGTCCCATAAATCTCAACACCAGTGAGTGGGGGATTCCTCACTTCATACTATTGGTTGCTTTCCCTTGTTCCTTTTCTGAGCTCTGTTTCCCTCCTGTCCTTCTTAAAGCAATTATTTTCAAGGCAGGCATAGTGGATAGAGCTGTTTGTCTCTTTTATATTTTCCTTTTCCCCTCCCTCTTTCATTGTGCATTGGTTGACTGAGCAGCCTGGGTCTTAGAGCACCCAGAAGCTCAGCCAAGTAGGATGTTTCTCATTGTTTTAGGCAGATGATCAGCTCCTTCAGCTTTGCCAGGATAAGTCGTTGCCCTGGGAAGTCTATTCTTCTGATACTCTACATCAGGTTTTTTCCAAACAGTGTTTGGTGAAATTATGGGATTCTACCAGAACTTGATAGAAAGAAAGAAAGAAAGAAAGAAAGAAAGAAAGAAAGAAAGAAAGAAAGAAAGAAAGAAAGAAAGAAAGAAAGAAAGAAAGATCATTCAAGCACAGTCAATTTTTTATCACTAGAAGTTTGCCTTTTCCTGGATTCCAGGATTTTTCTTTTAATCTAAGAATTTTTGCAGCCTGAAAATGTGTGAAAACCCCTGCTTGACCAAATGTTTGATTGTTCAATATAGAAATGGGCAGCCAAGCGTCTGGTAAATTTGGGGCTCAGGAACATTTTTCTACTAGTTCTGCTGAATGTTGTATGCCCACAGGTCTGAAACTATTTGTTGCCCACTGCTGTTCCTCACCCCTGTCCATAATTCAGAATGCTGCCATTGGAGGATACGCCTGGAAGTCCCTGTGTTGCCCATGTTTGTGCATTCGATTTTGTGTCTTCACATGCCTGCTGGAAAAGGGGACTCCTGTAGCCTGACAGAATTGATCAGAGACTATTCTTTATGGTGGTTCCTTCATTCTCCCTCTTTTCCCCCTTCTTCTCCCCCCAGATTATATAAAGAACAGGGTGAAGATCTAGTAGATCACCTTCCAAAAGAGCGAGATGTATTTTTGGAGAGAGAGTTCCAGAGGGTCACCATCTCTGGAGAAGAGACATGTGGGGTAAGTCTGTTTGGTTTAGGAATTGTTCTCATTTTTCCCAACACATACACATTGATTCTCTTTCAGAGACCCTCTACAAAGATGGGCAAGCTGACACCCTCCACCTATCTTTGACTACAATCCCCAAACCTCTGGTCACCATTATCAATAATCTGATTGTTGTTGATTAAAACATCTGAAAGATGTTAGTTGCCTACTCCTGCTACAGAACATAATGCTGCTGTATTTGGAAATACCACAGAAACGATTAGTCTCTGATACCCAGCTACAACTTGATGCTTGTTGCATTAATGACAACTCCCATTATTTTAAGCCACTTTGGTCAAGGCGGTTGGGAGTTAAAATCCAGAATATCTGGAGGATACTAAATTGGGGAAAGCTGAACTACTGTCCTTGCTCTGAGTTAGGGAGAAAACATAGGTTGAAGATGAAGCACGTGGATTGCAGGCAACAGGGTTTTTTTTAGTTAAAGTTTCCTATAATGGAGAATTTAATAGGGTAAGGTAGTAAATTAGGTAGACAGATACGCTAACCACATTGCAGAAAGCTTTCTACATTCCCAAAATATTATATGCACTCCTTGAAAAATTACAGAATTCAAAGAGTTTCACATTAGATAGCTACTGGGTGATGTTTCTTCAGAACTGAAGACGCTTCTTGGATGTGAAGCGAAATGTTTTCAAGGAAAAAGCCAAGAAAGGCCAGCTGCCTTTTGGAAAAGCACCTTTGGGACCAGCAGTAAAAGCTCTGTTATTTTTGAGTACCTATTATTTATTTTAAAACTATGTTCTGCTCCCCCACCTCAGCAAAGAAATGCAAATTTTCTCACTTTAGAGACCTTGGTGGTTTAAAAAAACATTTTAAAAGGGGTAGAATCCCTTCAAAGTGCTTTTAAAAAAACATTCTACTGGCTCTTAATTGTTTTTCCTAGTGGCTGAGGGATGAATTTGAAGAAAGAAAGAAAGAAAGAAAGAAAGAAAGAAAGAAAGAAAGAAAGAAAGAAAGAAAGAAAGAAAGAAAAAACCCATACTGCTGCTGCTGCAAAAGCATGTGGTTTTTGTTTTGCATATTCTTCCATGCTGATTTGGGTTGACTTCCAGAGCAATGCAGAGGAAAACTGCTGTTGCTGTTGCTGAGAACTGGAATGTTGTTTGTTTTTACAAAAACCCAAGGCCTTGCAGGGTTCTGGGAAGTAAGTTCCCCAGGAGCTTTGATAGAGTCACTCTGTTGCTGCCCTTCAACCAAGTTCAAGTCAGGATGTGTTCTCGGAGGTGCTACATCAGCCAGGGATCTGGGATGCAGCGATCCAAAAGAGGGCTTTCTGAGGACTCCAGCTGGGCAAGTCTCCCCTTTACTGAGCTATGGCTGGGGCCAAGCTTTTGAAGTTTCCGGGATCAGTTTAAGATGTAGCTGTTTATCTATGCTTGGGTTAAACTGATTCCTCTGTGCTGCTCTGGCATTGTTGCCCTACATTTCAGAGGGGGGGGGGAAAGTTTTATAGAATTGCCATTTTCAACAATTATTTTTTAACATTGATGCTTATTTTTCATGAATGTGCTCCAGTGTGGATTGTTTTGTTGATGAAAAGACAGGAGAGAAATTCAAATTAACAAACAGATACATAAATAAGTAAAGCAAAAGAGAGGGAAGCTAGTGAATCTAGTGAATGAGAGAAACCTCAGCCTTGGAGCCAGCCACAAATGTTGCTATATTTTCCCCAGCTGAGAAGGTGAGCAGTAAGCAGACCCTTCCCTCTCACAGTTACACTGGAGCACAGTTACACTGGTGATATTAGCGAAGAGTCAGTGTCCACTGACTACCAATATTTATTGGTAGTTCAGAGCCTAATTCTCCCCTGGTCACTTCTATGTGAGCCAGAATCTTGGTGGTCTGCTGAGGCAACCATGTTGTGAGCATGGAGATCAGTGTAACAAGGAACAGGGATGGGGTTGTTCACTGCTACTTGCATAATGAGTTATATAAGTCTTTGTAATGGCTGAATTGGAGCTACTAGCTGTTGAATATTCATTCATTCAAGTGTCCAACTCAAGCTACGTGAGTCTGGGTGGCATACAAGACAAAAAAGAAAATTCTGATTCCTTAATATAAAACAACTTATTAAAGCATGAAGGTCTTTGGTGCTCTCTGAGCTTGCTTATTTTCTTGCAGACATTTCATTATCAAAACTAGATAACATCATCAGTGCTAGGGTTATTAAAACATACTAAACAATAAAATGATGAACAGAGAACTTCCTCAAGTCTCCCATTGGAGACTCAAGTCAATTTGCCATATATCCCTGGGGAAATATGTATGTGTGAATGAGGGTTTTGCTGAACAACCAACTTGACTTGGCTTCTTGCAGTCCTGCCAGATATAAAGTTGGCTGCATCATAACTTTGTCTGTAGACTATTAAGTTTTTGTAATAGCTTCAGTTGACTAAACCATGCATGTGAGATAAAACATGGATTAAAAATCCTGTGATTTCCAAATGCTGTTTCCTGTAAAGAAAAAGTAGATCACAGAGGAAATATTAGAAAGCATTTTGGCAATGTGCCTTATTAGCTGGTTTTCGTGCAAAAACCAGCTGGTACAATGCAAAACCTTTGTTGAGGCCTTCTGGTATTCAGAGTGCTTCTCTGGTGTTCCTTCTGGTTTTTTAGCCTGTGAAACTTTCCACAACGAGGCTTTGACAAAAACCCCCTCAGTTGAATAAACTGCTTTTCTTTTGCCCTATACAGGTGCCCTTTACAGACCTGTTGGATGCTGCTAAAAGTGTGGTCAAAGCATTGTTCATCCGGGAGAAGTACATGGGGCTTTCTCTGCAAAGCTTCTGTAAAACCACAGCCCGATTCCTGCAGGATCTTTCAGAAAAACCCTTTGCCCTCAGGATGTATGAGGAGATTCCTGAGACTCCTGTGGGTGCAGGTAAGGATCAGAACTGGGCATGGATTGACAAAAAGCATTTCCCTAATTCTAGTGACAGAGATGGCTAAGATGGTAGTTAGAAAAAGAGGCTTCAGTAGGATTTTAGACTGATAGTTTAAACCAGTGCTGGCTGTGGAATTCTGGGAGTTGAAGTCCACACACCTTAAAATTGTCAAGGTTGAGAAACACTGGTTTAAACTATGAAGCCTGGCAAATAGTCTGGAAGGAGAAGACCTTGAGGCCCAACAACTTCTTTCACAATCAGTGACAGTTGCAATAACAAATCCTGCATTATCTGCTACTGGGATAGACTAGACTGGATAGCTGCAGGAACTCCACAGTTATCTCTCCATGCTTATGCATTCTGCAAGGTTTCTGTAAACTAACAGATTTTTTTTAATGTGGGTCTAAGGGAGAGATTAAAAAAAGCATGAAGGAAATTCCAGTTCTATGCTGAAAGAAGCTGATTCCACTTATTTGGTATATGCTGTGTTCTGTATATTTTATTTGGATTTTGCTAATAAAGGAAAAGGCAAGGAAGTGAGCAGGGGTAGGATCGTCATTAACTATTACAGGAGAAACAAAAAGACTCTAGATTTGATGAGTTCAAACAGGCGTCTCCAATGCATTTTAAGCTACGTCTAAAGCCAACTAGAAACTTACTTCTAAAATTCAAAGAGAAAAAGGCACACTTCTCAGGAATAACAAAGGAATTTTACATGTGGTCTAAATTTTTTGACTACATCCAAAGCTGCAAGTTTTCTGTGTTTCCATAGAAACATGCAATCTAAACAGATTTTGAGGTAAATGGGAAAGAGTAACATAATTAGGCTTCCTCAAGATGGTGCTCTTTTGATGTTTTGGATTACCAATCTCCGCATCTTCAAATATCATGGAAAGCTGCCAAGTGAGGGATGGACAGAGATGTAGCCCAGTACATCTGGGGAGGATTGGGTACTACTTTGCAGTGGCCCCATCACATTCTATATGCAATATAAAGTTAACCTGGTTACTGGTAGTCCTCACCTGTGACCATTCATTCAGTGACCGTTCTAAGTTACACCAGTGCTAGGGGATGATGGTTACGACTGGTCCTTGGAGTTCTGGATATCCCAGCACCACCCGGTCCCACAGTTGTGATATGGGTGCTTGGCACTTATGAGTGGTTTGCACTTATGACTAGTTGCGGTACCCTGTGATCACATGCTCACCTTCTTTATCCATCTTGCCCAGAAAGTCAGTGGGGAAGCTGGCAGGGAAGATCACCAATTGCTGGGATAAGTCTCTCTCTCACCCATGCAACCTCCCTCACCCTCTCCTCACTTGTACCATACCAGCCAGTTGCACCCTCTCTGGCCCTCGCCCTGCTTCCCTCGCACCCTCCCCAACCCTCCCCATGCCTTTCCCACATCTCCTCACACCCTCCCTGACCCTTGCTGGATTTTTCTGCACAACCTCTTGCATTCTCACACAGCCTTCCCAACCTATATCACATCTCTCATACACTCTCATATTCCCTCCCCAACCCTTCCCCTCTCATGCACCCTTGTTCACTCTCCCCAACCCATACTTCTCTTGCACTCCCCTTGTAAACCCATACTGACCTGTGCCTCACCTCTTACACATTCTTCCAGATCTTCCCTCGCTCTCCCTTCAACCTCCCCTGGACACTCTCTTGCTCCCTTCCCCACCTGGCTACAGTCACTTACTTCCCTTTCAGCCTGAGACTTCCTGCTGGTTTCCCCTCTGACTTTGCTTGTGGATACTGTCAGGAAGCTGCCTTGCCTAACAACCATGGGATTTGATTAACAACAATGACCGGGACTGCAGGGATTGTTATCTCTAAGTCATGCAGTCACACTTTGTAACCATATCACATAGCAATGGAAATCCCAATCCTAATAGCCATCATAGGACTAGCTGTACCTATTCAGCCTCTGCATAACTGATTTGCTTGGTTTGTGCCCATGCACCATTGGAGGAAGAGGATGGGAACTCAGCAACTACTGAAAGGGGGGGGGAATTATAGTGTGGGCCAGAGGTATTAGCTTTTTATTTCTCTTTTAGCATTCCATTCAACTCTTAACTACAACAGCCAAGGTCACTGGGCAGATGGGGTGGCTTCTTGTAAGCATTTTCCTCTGTTACAGATGTTCCAGTGCATCCGCCATTTGCACACCAGCACCCTTATGAGAAATGTGATCCTGACTCAATGCCTGGAGATCTTGGCTTTGGCCTCAGGATGGTCAATGGAGTAGTTCATGTGTACACCAAGCAGGACATCACTGACAAGTAAGTAGGTGGCTGAGGGCATGAGAATAACCTGGTTAATAGGAAAAATCTGGAAGAGAAATAACATCTGGGCCAGTGATATTATCTGTGATTCATATTTAGCTGAGCAAGATTTCTGATCCTCTCATTTTTCTCAGCAGCTAGGAATTATGAATGCTTGTGACTTAATAAACTCCAAAGGAAACATAGATGTAATGAAAGTAAAAATTAATCTGTAATTATCTCAAACAGAAATATAGAGGTAATCTATATTTTAGGAAGGCTCATGGTATATTCTCAAGCAATATTTTGTGGTATATACAAAATGATCTGCTACATTTCCTTTTTTTTTTTTTTTTGCCAATCATTATTTATGCGCATATAGTGTGTGGTGATTAGCATGACTACAATAGCAAGAAAGCAGACAACTTTTTTCCTTTATCTGACCTCAGGAAACATGGAAAATAATATTTATTAAATAGTCTGGAGCTGTGGCTGCCAATCACTTGTAATGAGACAACAGATTTCAGTTAGGAAAGCTCATTACTTGACTAAAAAGTACATGCCATTAACAGAACAGAGTAAAGCAAATAAATAAAAAATGTGCACTGTGCTTTCATTTTTACTTTCACTTTCAAAGCAAAGTGCTATAAAAAAGGTTATTTTTAAAAATATGTAAAACCTCACTCTTTAGTAACGAAACAAATAACAGCTTCATGACATCCTGGGAAAGTCAAGTTTAACAAAAAGCTTTTTAAAAGTATGTGGCAAGTGATGGAAAAAACATAATGGTGCAATTGGAACAATTGCTAGGAAATTTTCACAAGTTTGGTGTGATTACCAAACAACATTTCTCTAACTTCCCATCAGCCTAGCCTGAAAAGGCAGGAGCTGAAAACAGGAAATACCTTCAGCTACACAGGAGTCTGACTATTTAGGCCAGTGGTGGCGAACCTATGGCATGTGTGCCAGAGGCAGCACTCAGAGCCCTCTCTGTTGGCATGCGCACCACTGCCACCAGCAGCAGATCCATCAGGCTGCCACCACCACCCGGAGCAGGAGCCCTGCCCAGCACAAAGGAGGCGAAGCGGCCAACTAGCAAGCTCAAGTAGAGGAGAGGTCACCAACCATTGTCGATTGGTGGACTGGAAGAAAAGGGAGGAGGAAGCATTTTACATGCATGCATGTGCACATGGGGCCACAAGCACACACACACTGCAAATGAAGCGGGGCTAGTGCCTGCATGATATTCATTAGCCCTGCCCCATTCTTGCATGGTGCAGCGCCTTGTATCTGCACCCTGCGGTGCGACGGTGGCCATTTTTGTGCCTTGCAGCATGGTGGTCCATTTTTGTGCCCCCTGTTTTTGCATGCCAGAGGCGGCACTCAGAGGTGCCTCCCTGCCCCCCCCCCGGGCACCACAATGCTGATGTGGCCCTGGTACTTTACAATAAATAAGTGGGGTTTGGGTTGCGGTTTGGGTACTTGGTCTCTAAAAGGTTCGCCATCACTGATTTAGGCCTTCACTGTTCTCTGAAACCAGTTAGTAGCCATGATAGATAAACACAAAGAAATGTAACGTATCTGCAGCTTGTGCTAACTGAATAATGAATTCAGACTTCTGCATCACTGAAGGCTTGAAACCACACTGGTTTTAAAGCAGGCTACTACAATCCAGACTAGCAGGCTCAGATGTGTGGACTTCAACTCCCAGAATTCCCCAGTCAGCACCTTAAACCTACCAAAGTTGAGAAACACTGGTCCAGGATGATATTAGTTTTTGTATCAATTGGAGCTAGTAAAATACACTTCTGGACTGAGAATGAAACAGGAAGGAAGGAAAAGAAGGATATTGCATCTCAGCATCTTCAGCTGCTCTCACTTCGATCTGATGTGGATCCAACCATCTGACATTCATTACCCTCTAGCTCAGGGGTCCTAAACATGGCCACTTTAAGACTTATGGACTTCAACTCCCAGAATTCCTCAGTTAGCATGGCTGGCTGGGGAATTCTGGGAGTTGAAGTCCACAAGTCTTAAAAGTGGCCAAGTTTGAGGACCCCTGCTCTAGCTCATAACCAGGTTTAGGGCTCCAGACATTGGACTCTACTCCTACTGTAACTCTGTGATCTGATATAAAAGAAACTTTGAGGCTGATGTCACGAAGATATTGACAACACTGCATACTAAATCAGGATCCTCAACCCCTGGGCCACAGCCTGGCACCAGACCGTGGCCTTGTTCAGAACTGGGCTGTGCAAGCAAGCAAGCGTGCCCTCCACTCACACAATTGGAGCTGCACACACATGCTCGCTGCTTGCATGTCCCGGAACCATTCCGTCTCCCATCCCGCGGCCGCCACCATCAGTCCAGAAAGCTGGAGAAGTTCCTCTCTGCCTAATATAGAAAATCAGTTGTTATCCTTTATTAATCTTAGAGCAAATGTAAAACCCAATTGTTTTTGCCAATTTAAATTTAAAACAATGATTTAGTCTACTTTAGGCCTGACAAATAATTCAGAACGTCATGTTGCTCTATTTTCTCGAGTAAAATACGTCTTACAATTTTTCAAAGTACTAGTGACTAACTAGTGACAATAATACAGTGTTTTTTCTGGATTGTTGGTGAGGCTGTTCTTTGTTTATATCTATTGGGTTACTTAAAAAAGCTATCCCCTAATGCACAGCCAGGCAGGGTAAGATGCTGCTAGCGGTTCTTGTTCTTTCCTTGCTTTCCTTTCATGATGCAACTTTGCTCATGTCTTTGGGGTCTGCTCTCTGTTGCACTTTGAAAAGGACCACTGAACTGGACTTGCCTTATCCTGACCTGCAGGAGTTTGTGGCTGACATGAATGTTCTGATGGCTCTGATCATCAATGGCCCCATGTAAGTTTTCCGCCTTTTTGCTCTGTATTTGTTTTCCGCCTTTTTGATCTGTATATGCAAAACCAAGGTGTCAAACTCCTTCTTTCCAGATAGCCATTCTACAAGCGTGGCTTTACATACATTAGGATCGTGGAATCTATTACGTAAAACACATTGTCATTGTAAGATTATATGGCAGACACATTTATGGTTTTTTTGTCAATAATTCATATGACTATTTTCTGGGATAATCAAAATGTATTCAAGTTGAAAGAAACTGTATTGGACTTTTTGAAGGTAGGTAGTGTCCTCCAGATTACAATAGACTACAAAGTTTAAAACAACTTTGAGTATCAGGAGCCAAAAAGTTTTTTTTCAATTTCTTAGCATGTTTGTAAATAGACAGTAGCTACTTAAAGTGGCCCACTAGCTACTGTAATCTCACCATTAGGCTGACTTGGCATAGGCTTGATCGTATGGGACAGTGGTGGCGAACCTATGCACGTGTGCCAGAGGCGGCACTCAGAGCCCTCTCTGCTGGCATGTGCACCACTGCCACCGGCAGCAGGTCCATCAGGCTGCCGCCACCTGGAGCAGGAGCCCCGCCCAGCACAAAGGAGGCGAAGCGGCCAACTAGCAAGCTCGAGTAGAGCAGAGGTCACCAACCATTTTCGATTGGTGGACTGGAAGAAAAGGGAGGGGGAAGCATTTTGCATGCATGCATGCGCACATGGGGCCACAAGCATGCACACACTGCAAATGGGGCGGGGCTAGTGCCTGCATGATATTCACTAGCCCTGCCCCATTCTTGCGTGGTGCAGTGCCTTGTATCTGCACCCCACGGTGCAATGGTGGCCATTTTTGCACCTTGCAGCATGGTGGTCCATTTTTGTGCCCCGTTTTTGCATGCCAGAGGCGGCACTCAGAGGTGCCTCCCTGCCCCCCCCAAGGGCACCACAATGCTGATGTGGCCCTGGCACTTTGCGATAAATAAGTGGGTTTTGGGTTGCGGTTTGGGCACTCGGTCTCTAAAAGGTTCGCCATCAATGGTATGGGATCTTTAATAATTCCCATATTCTATTTCTGGAAAGAAGGACCTCACTTGCCCATCAGTAATGTAAAACTTTCTGGAAAGACAGATTGTTCCTTTATTGATTTATTGTACTGAGCCAGCTTCTGGGATAATCATGAAATTAAATCTCATATGGAAAATGTTCTAATCAGGGTGTGCAAATCTTAAATTGTTTTCTTTTCACCTTTGGACAGAAAATCTTTCTGCTATAGGAGACTTCAATACTTAAGTTCAAAGTTCCAGATGCATGTCCTGCTCAATGAGTTGAAAGAGCTGGCAGCTCAGAAAAAGGTGCCACATCGTGACTTCTACAATATTCGGAAGGTAGAAGCACTGTATAATTTGAGAATGTGTGCTGGTAGTTAGGGCTACAGACTATGTCAGTGCCACAGATGGTTGAACCTGGAAAGTTTAATAGTTATTGTAGAAAGCTTCACCAGTACAGCCCTTTTACCTCTTTGTACTGATAAGAGAACAGTAGCAGAATCTACTGGTTTTAGATTGATAGCAGGACACTTTCAACAGAAATGCTGAATTTTATACTCAGCTGGCCCATTTTGGATTGATATATGTGGATTGTCTTTTTAAAAAACAACATCCAAATAATTATGTTAATGCTTATAACAATCTTGGAAGAAAGTCAGTGTTACTTCCGTACTACAGATTGAAAAACAGAGCTGAGTCTGAGAATAAAAGTTTTTTTTCTTGAAGTCAACTAATGAGCTGATGTCTAAGATAACATTTGAGCTTGCATCTTCCTAGTTTGCGTACTTATCCACTAATTCTTTGAGCAGGTGGACACACACATCCATGCTTCATCCTGCATGAATCAGAAGCATCTGCTACGCTTCATCAAACGGGCTATGAAGAAACATCTGGAGGAAATCGTTCACGTGGAAAAGGGCAAGGAGCAAACCCTTAAAGAGGTCTTTGAGACCATGAATCTCACAGCATACGATCTGAGTGTGGACACCCTTGATGTCCATGCGGTATGTCAGATGCACCCATCAAAGAGGGGCACCTTTCCTTGACTTGTAAAGAGAATTAAGAACAGGTTTTCCTACTGGATTAAATGGTCATCTTAACTTTGGACACTAGGCTGGACAAAGCTTTCTTACTCTTTTCAGTAGAAGAGTCTCACATGCAGAATGGTAGTTCCTGACTTTTTCGGGTCTACTGGAACACAGTTCTAAAGTTGCCTCAATTAGAAGGAATAGAAAATCTGATCTCAATTAACTCCAAGAGGTAATTTGGTAGTATTTATCAAAGAGAAGAAAGTGTTCTTCAAAGAAATACGTAGCAGCTTCTGATCTTGGGAGATACTGCTCTCCAATCCAAGGGGGATGATGGAGGGAATTCTGATGAAAGAAATATATCATTATCAGTAATGCTAAGTGAGGAAGAGAAGGCAGTGCTGTTGCATTATGGCCTATCAGGATTTATCTTGGCATCCTCTCTATTAATAGGATCGCAACACCTTTCATCGGTTTGACAAGTTCAATGCCAAATACAACCCCATAGGAGAGTCTGTCCTGCGTGAGATTTTCATTAAAACAGACAACGAAGTCTCTGGAAAATACTTTGCTCATATAATTAAGGTGAGGGCTGCTGTAATGGTACGTGGGGATGTCCTTGAGAGACAGGAAATTGCCACAGCCAAGGGAACAGTTGGACAAGAGACAGCCTGCAGAAGGAATGTCGGCATGGCAGATGTCTCAGAAAGGACCCTCCCTAGTTCCTTGGGCTGTAAAGGTGTGTGTGTGTGGGGGGGGGGAACAGACTTGCAGGATTCCGTTAATGTAAAACCTGATAATAAAGTAGGATCAATTCATCTGGTTTTGCTTCACATCTGGACTACCTTGCAAGGTTGGCAGCTGCCTGGCCTCATTTATACATACTTTCTTAAAGCCAGGAGGCTGAACAAGTTATGCAGATTTAAATATAGCTACCTTTTGGTGCTTTGAAGCTTGGGAGAATCAAGCAGGTTGGTTTTGGAGAAGTAATAAAAGTAGTAAGTAATAAAGTGGCAGGGGGTGAGCAGAAAGAGGTGGTGGGTGTATAAAAGTTGTTTCTTGATTACTACAAGCCTAGTAATGGCCATAACTCACTTCTGAACATTACAATATTACTCTTAACATGTTTATATATTTGTCCCTCAATTATCAAAAGTTGAGACCAACATATTTGTGGCACACCTCGCCATGCTATAATATTTACCCAGTCATTGTGATTGGAAATTAAGGTATGCATAGCCTATTCCAGGAGTAGGCAACCTTGCCTCTTTTATGACTCGTGGACTTCAACTCCCAGAATTGGCTCAGGAATTCTGGAAGTTGAAGTCCACGAGTCATAAAAGAGCCAAGGTTGCCTACCCCTGGCCTATTCTATGGGTTAATATTGGGCTTAGCATTATGCATGAAGGAGGCTCTGTGGCCTAGTGTGTTTCATGAACCTAAGAAACCTTATGGCTAAAATAACAAAATTAGATCAGGTATTATGCAGGTAGTTTCTTTATTTAATTACATAATTTGTTGAATGAATTTAAACCAATCTCTTTGTCACTCAACCTGGTTCCTAGGTTTGTTGTTTGGGAAGAAAAGTAGGAGAGATCCCCATCTAAGTCACCCAGACCTCTCAGACAAAAGGCAGGATATAAGAACATGTGTCTTTTTTAAGAAAGAGCTCATATTCTTGAAGTGCTAACAAGCCCTTTCTCGCCTGGTAGGAGGTAAGGTCTGACCTAGAAGAGAGCAAATATCAGAATGCAGAACTGCGACTGTCTATCTATGGCCGAGCACGGGATGAGTGGGATAAATTAGCCAAGTGGGCTGTTACCCACAGAGTGCATTCCAACAACGTACGCTGGCTGGTGCAGGTGCCTCGGCTATTGTGAGTACCTCTCTCTTGGTTTTGCAGTTTCAAAAACATGCGGACACTTGCTGAATCACAAAGGCTTTACATACTTTAGCTGCTGTATTAGCAGTGCTCAATAGCCACTTCTGTCTAGTAAAAAGTGAGTATAGGACTTGCTTTTTTCATAAGCACTAAGATTACACCCTAAAGGAGTGTCAAACTGCCGGCCGGGGGGCCGGTTTCATCATACGTAAGCCGTGCCCGCCCCATTGCCGGCAGTGCAAAAAGATCGCGATACGTCGCTACACGTCACATGATGTGGCGAGTTTGACACCCATGATAAAGAAGATAAATGTTGCCCTTCCACTGTCTGTTTTTAGAAGAGTATCAAAAACCATGTTGTTTGAACGTGTATTATTGAGGTTAAACCTTATAGGCTGCATTCTTGGAACCAACTTCAGAGCATTCATGTATAGGATCAGAGAGATTGCTGTGCCTTATTATGCATCTGGGTATCCTTGGGGGAAATGGTTCTACTGCTTTATAAAGGGCTCTTTATGCTACAAGTAGCTTTCCACTTTATTTTTTGACAGTAAGGGAGAGCAACCATTTTGATAAGAAGTATAGAGAGCACTTCAGTATTCTGTGATTGGATCTTAGTTTTGACTTCACTAGTTTTGATAGCAGTTGTAATCCCAGTCAGTGGGAAACCACCCTTTGGACTTAGCTGCTCAGTAAAGTACAATATCAGCTTATATGAGCTAAAATGTTACGATTTGCACTGATGGTGTTATAGTATCTAGTTGAGTAATGAAACATTTGAACTGGAAAAGGTTGCAACAGATTTCTGTCTACCATAAAGAAAAAAAACCCTCTGTTGGTGGTGTTGGGAGGATGGGGGAAGAGTCAGTTGCAAATCTGTTCCCCACAATCTCAACAGAAGCACCAGGACCAAAGCTACTTTGAAAGTATTTGATAAATGGTCATAAAACTTGCACGTTTTCCCAAAAGTACATCCTCTCTTACTAAATCATTGTGTAAGATAGTTATCTGTGGAGATTCTCAATCATCCAGGTCATGGTTGTCCCAGAGGTGCTTTTTCCAAAAGGCAGGTGGACTTTCTTGTTTCTTTTTCTCTGAAAATGTTTTGCTTCTCATCCGAGAAGCTTCTTCACTTCAGGACTGAAGAAGCTTTTTGAATGAGAAGCAAAACGTTTGTATGCCTTTGGAAAAAGCACCTTTGGGTGTAAGATAGTTATTTCTTCCAGCCATCTCAGCTGTATGACATATGCAGTGAAGACTATTGGGAATTGGATTGCTGAAACAGTTGGGTTACTTAAGTGATCTTTCATTCCCAGAAGCTGTGCAAGCCTTACCACAAAGCAGCTGATTTTAAGTGTGATGAAGGAACACTTAGTTATTTGTTCATAATTTCCATTGTAACTTTAATGCCAGGGAAAACAGAGAAGTGGGAAGAAGCGTTTGCAGTTATCTGGTACCAGAGTAAAATCAATTTGACTGGTAACATACCTTTATTATTTATTAAAATTTTATCTGCCCATCTCCCCTACAAGGTGATTGTGAGCAGCTTGAGATTTTCTGCCCAGAGAACAAGGAATTAGGTACCACCTAATACATTGACAACAGAAGCCAAAAAAAAAAAAAAAAAAGTGAACTAGTTTAGTCTTCTAGGAAACGTGCTCCCCACTCTCCTCTTCTTCCAAGGATGTGGGTATGTGGAGTGTCACACTACACCACTGCTAATTATAGCCCTCAGTCAGCTCAGAACAAGGTCTGAGGAACACTATTGTCAACTATCCAGAGTGAAGAGAGTTATGTGTGATGGATGGAGCACTATCCCTTTTTGTATCTTGACTTTTAACAGCGACGTATACAAAACAAAGAAACAGCTGGCCAACTTTCAGGAGATGCTGGAGAACATTTTCTTACCTCTCTTTGAAGCCACCATCAATCCTGCCAGCCACCCAGAATTGCATCTCTTCTTGGAGCATGTAAGTAGGGATATCGGAAAAAGCAATCGTAATTCCTAGTACTTGCTAAAGGGATGGTTCATAGTACCTCTGCATTTGAGGCAGAGTGAAGGATGGTTGTACACAAATGTTATATATGTGATTCTTGGATATACTTGATCTTGAAGATGGTATATGGTTGATTATGGTTGATATATATCAGTCTTAAATCATGGTCATGACCACTCTGCCTAATTTACATACAGCGAATGAAGACGCGAGAGGTCCCAAAACTGACAGGCATATTTTCATCCTCTCCCTTTCTTTCCTTCTCTGGGTTCTGAATGGGCAGGTGGACGGTTTTGATAGCGTAGATGATGAGTCCAAGCCAGAGCACCACATCTTCAACTTGGACAGTCCCTTGCCTGGCAATTGGGTGGAAGAAGATAATCCACCATATTCCTATTACCTTTATTACACATATGCTAATATGGTGGTGTTGAATCATCTGCGTAGGTAAGGTCATCTGCTTCTTATCTCCCTCCTCATCCACCTTTTCTGAATTTGAATCTGCCCCAGAATCACAGGATTTTTTAAGGCTTTGAATAACCTTTTCTCACCTTTCTGTTAATACTAGTGACATATTAGATGCTCAGATCTTGTGGTCTGTGTTTCGGCTTCATATCTTTGGTGCTGTAAGTTGGGTGTTAATTTCTGTTCCTCGAGGACGTCCATCTTACTAGCATTTTGACTTCTCCTTTTCCAAAATGCTATTCATCTGATTGAGCTATATATTTTGCTTTCCTTTTTTTTTTTTTTTTTTTTTAGGAAGCGGGGCTTCCACACCTTTGTGGTGCGACCCCACTGTGGGGAGGCAGGACCCATCCATCATCTTGTGTCAGGTTTCATGCTGTCAGAGAACATATCTCATGGCCTCCTTCTCCGCAAGGTAAGGGAATGCAAATGAGTTGGTACCACATATAAAACAAGGACCTCTGGATATGCCTGTATATATGATGAAGCAGAAACATTGCTTAGAAGCCAAGCTGTTGCTTAAATCACCACATACCATTGAGTATTGTGATAAAGGCTACTGTTGTGCTAAGCATGCAGTGGGAACCTAGGCAGAAGACAAAAAGAAAAGAAAACAAAAAAAAAAGGTGCTTCCGGGTTGAAAGGATTAGCCAGTGACATCACTATTGCCCAGGGATGCCCAGTTGGGAGCTCCTTTCATGTCCCTGTTAATGTGCCCACCAAAGTGGTACCTATCCGTCTACTTGCAATTACACAATTTTGAACTGCTAGGCCAGCAGGAACAAATGACAAGAGTTCATCCCATCTCACAGCAGCACTCTGGTTTCGAACGCTGGCTTGCTGCTGGTCAACCCAGCATCCTAACCACATGAGGAACCATGCTCCTAAAAAGAAAATGTGAATACATCATTATTGGGTATGCTGGAGATATTTGCAGTTTCTTGAAAGAGCTTCTATTCATGACTGTTCCAAGTGGCTTGAAGAAAGGGGAATCCCTGTATATTTATCCAGAAGCAAACATTAAGCAGGCCTCAGTGTTTGCTGGAGATACCCCATGTCTTAACGTTGAGTTTCTCTCTAGGCACCAGTGCTGCAGTATCTCTACTACCTGGCTCAGATTGGCATTGCTATGTCTCCACTTAGCAATAACAGTCTGTTCTTAAGCTACCATCGTAATCCACTACCTGAGTACCTGTCTCGGGGCCTCATGGTCTCCCTGTCCACAGATGATCCCCTGCAGTTCCATTTCACTAAGGTGAGTGTCATTAGCGGGTATGATCCAAAAGAATGAAAGATGGCACAAGGGAGGAAAGATGCCCTTCTTTTTAGCTAAGGTAGTATAGCAAAATGTTAGAAACAAAACTTAGCTGTATAAAATTGTTCCTCTGCCTCTTTCATGTGTTAATTGCATAATGCTTTATTCCAAGCAGCAGAGCCACTTCTTTTAGATCTCTGAAGATGTTCCTGTTGCACTTGGTGTACTGCAAGTAGCTGGCAGGAATAGCCAACACTCCAAAAGATAGGCTTAAGATACAGAAGGATCGTAATATTGAATATTGGGTGCTATCTAACAAAATGAAATTGAATGGTGAAAAAAGTAAGGTTCTACATTTAGGCAAGAAAAACCAAATGCACAGGTATAGTATAGGTGGTACCTTGCTCAATAGTAGTAACTGTGAGAGGGATCTCGGAGTCCTAGCAGACAATCACTTAAATATGAGCCAGCAGGGTGCTGCAGCTGTCAAAAAAAGCCATCACAGTGCTAGGCTGCATTAACAGAGGGATAGAATCAAGATTACGTGAAGTATTAATACCACTTTACAGTGCCTTGGTAAGGCCACACTTGGAATACTGCATCCAGATTTGGTCACCATGATGTAAAAAAGATGTTGAGACTCTAGAAAGAGTACAGAGAAGAACAACAAAGATGATTAGGGACTGGTGGCTAAAACATATAAGGAACGGTTGCTGGAATCGGGTATGTCTAGTTTAATGAAGAGAAGGACAAGGGGGGACATGATAGCAGTTTTCCTATATCAGAGGTTGCCACAAAGGAGAGGGAGTCAAGCTATTTTCCAAAGTAGAAGAAGAAGACAAGAAGGTAAGAAGCACCTGAAGGCAAGACAAGAAGCAACGGAATTTCCTGACAGTTAGAACAATTAATCAGTGGAACAGCCTGCCTCCAGAAGTGTGAATGCTTCAACACTGGAAGTTTTTTAAGAAGAGACTGGACAGACATTTGTTTGAAATGGTATAGGGTTTTCTGCCTGAGCAGGGGGTTGGACTAGATGACCTCCAAGGTCCCTTCCAACATCATCATCATCTACAACAAGTGTTTCAACAACAGTTCCATGTTTTTTTTTGTTTATTTCATGTGTGCATCATAGGTACTGAAGGGTGTATATTGTCATTGCCAAGCTTTCTATAAAATGCTACGTGATAGGTTAAATTACAGGTTATTTTTGTGATTAGCAGCTGAATTGTTGCTAATACACAGGAATGTGTTGGGAAGCAAAATCGTTATTGTCCAATGTAATTGAAATGTCTCCACCTAATGGCTCAAAGATCAAACTTTGATCATAAGAACCAAAGTAAAAATGGTGTAGCTACAACAACAGGCTGTGTTTAGTTCAGTCTGTAGAAATATTTATGGTAGCTTGGAACAGATACACCACCCCTGTTTTTAGAAGAGTAAGATGTTGCTTTAGCTGTTTACAGGTAGTCCTCAACTTACAACAGTTCATTTAGTGACCGTTCAAAGTTACAATGGCACTGAAAAAGTAACTTATGACCGTTTTTACAGTTACGACTCCTGAAGCATCCCCATGATCATGCGATCAAAATTCAGATGCTTGGCCACTTGTTCATACTTACGACCGTTGCTGTGTCCCAAGGTCATGTGATCACTTTTTGCAACCTTCTGGCAAACAAAGTCAATGGGGCAGCCAGATTCACTTAGCAGCTGGGTTGCCAACTTATCAACTGCAGTGATTCGCTTAGCAGTTGTGGCAAGAAAGGTCATAAAATGGGGCAAAACTCACTTAACAAATGTCTCACTTAACAACAGAAATGTTGGCCTCAATTGTGGTCATAAGTCAAGGACTAACTATATCATTCACTTATCCCAGGCACACGCTGTTCTCCAATTTACCTGTCAGAGATAAAATACTGGAAATGTTTTTCTGCTCAGTTTTTATTCAAGGTAAACTTGCTTTGAAATCAAGCTTCACACCTTACTGATGTTGGATTTTTGTCCTGATGTGAAAGTGGTTTGCCTTCTTGTGGGATAATTCTCCACTTCCCAATCTAGCTGATAGCTCTGGACTTCTCAGTTGCTGCCTACTGCATACAGTTTGCATCGTGCACAACTAATTTGATATACACTAACGTTCCCAAAGCCAGTCCTGTGTCATATTTTGCTGCTTGCTAATGTTCTGTGTGCCTGTATCTGGGTCTGACTGACAGTATCGCTTCCAGGAACCCTTGATGGAAGAGTACAGCATTGCCACACAGGTTTGGAAGCTCAGCTCCTGCGATATGTGTGAACTTGCCCGGAACAGTGTGCTTATGAGTGGCTTCTCCCACAAGGTAATGTAGAATCTTCTGTGAAAGGGATTGACTTCAGGCTGTGAGCTCCCAAAACAATGCTCTGAAGTTCAAAGGGGATTTACAGAGACTTATTCATGTGAACCAGCCTGTTTTGTGTAGAAAACTTAAAACCTGCAGGCGGCCTCCTCTTCAACCAAGTCTGTACTCAAGGGAAGAAGATGACTCAAGGCTAATGTTGAAGAAAGCATTTCCAACTCCTCCCTTCCTTTGCTTCCATCTGCAGCAAAAGAGCAGACTTTGTTCTGAAAGGGTCATAGCAGTTGTAGAAAATTAGGCTGGAAATGAATAAATTTTATGTTGGGGGGGGGAGGTTTCCATAAAGACCTCTGCAGATGTGATCCTTTCAGCAGTTGAGGTAGCCACCCTCCCGATTTATGAAGTTCAAAAGTAATTTGTCTTAAAGAGCGCAGTGGGTGGAATTCAGAATGCCGGTATCTGCTGTGCCCTTTTTTTTCTTAGTCCTTCCCTTCTCCCATGTACATAATAGCTGCCATTATATTTCACTTATTATACTCAATCCTTATTAAACTGATTTTAGTTTTCCATAGGTTTTCCCCCAAAGGCTGTTTATACATCCCCAAATCATTGGTTTGTTCTAAGCTTAGGGCAGCCTACTTGTTGTATGTGGATGCCAAGGAATTAGGTATACTAATAGGGCATGATAAACCTATTATACCTTGATACATCTTGTAAAATTCCAGGAGGCATTCAATCCTTGATCAAAATCCCAGTGAAACTTAGCACATTGAATGAACAGAAATGAAAATAAGATGGGTGTTTAAGGCCTTTTCTCTGACAGTTTTAACCAGGAACCAAAAGCAGAAATGCTTGTCCCAAGACTTTATCTGACTTTGCCATTGTAGTACCACTGTGCCTCTACTAAGGTTTCTTGTTCTCATGGAATGAATGAAAGGTAGCCTTTCTGGGGGTGTGGGATGCTATTGAGCCATTTGTACAGTTCTTTGCTAGACAAAAGTCCAGAGAAGCACTAAAATGAACATAAGGCGAGAATTTAAGACCCGTGAATGAATGGGGACTATTATATTAGTTTGCATGTGGGGGGGGAGGGGGAGAAACAGCAAGGTATTGTTGGTACTGGCTCTTGTTTTGTTTTTTAAACTATTTATTTATTAAATTTAGAAACTGACCATCTCATTCTCGGCGTGATTATGAATTATACTGTATCCTTCATTAAAGCTTTCGTCTTCAAATGTTCGGTGGAAAACATAGGTTGTCCTTTGTCTTAACCCTGGATTGATTTCTGCTTTTGTCCCTCAGGTGAAGAGCCACTGGCTTGGACCCAACTACCTGAAGGAAGGGCCTGAAGGCAATGACATCCGTCGTACCAATGTGCCAGATATCCGGGTAGCCTATCGCTATGAGACACTTTCCCAGGAGCTGACTCTCATCACCCAGGCTGTGCAGACGGAAATGCTGGAGACCATCCAGGAGGAAGACCTTCTGACTATCAGCTCCATCCGGGATACTTGCTGAAAGAGACTCGTTCATAATAGGTCTCCCTTTCAGCCCTACACTGGCTTGACTAGCTGGGGCTGTTCTGCGAGCGCAAAGAGAGCCTGACCATCCACCTCCCTCATCCCAGAGACTTTTCTACTTTCCTGTTTTGTGTGTGTGTGTGTGTGTGTGTGTGTATGTGTGTGTTTCCTTCAGTATCTCTTGGAAAGGTTTCTTTGCACTTGGTAATCTGCTGGGGTCTCCTGAAAGGTGACTAGTTAGAAGCATCTCCAGGGTTCAGATCCAGGAACCAAGCAAAGCATCTGTAGTGTGAATGGAAAGGCTGGTCAGATCATTTGTGAGCCAAGGCCAAAGAGGTGGAAAGGAACTTCAGAATAAATTCTGGAAGTCCTAGCATGTGAATACATTTGTCTGGTGGCAAAAAGAAACACCAGCATGTCTACATGTATCCTGAGCAACATCTGCCAGGACCAAAGTCTTCTGGGGGTGCCTTGCACTACCTCGCTTTTGTTTTAGGGGGTTCACATTAGCTGGTCAAGCAACTCTGAGAGGCTGGAACCAGCCCTGCGTTTTGCCATCAGGGCAGTACGTTGTTGTCAATCCCACTATGCAAGAGCCTCTGTTTTTCAGTGTTAAGCTCTAGTCTAGTGTTTCTCAAGCATGGAAACTTTTAAGATGTCTGGACTTTAACTCCCAGAATTTCCCAGCCAGCATGACATCTTAAAGTAATGACATCTAGTCATCTTAATTTTGTCAAAATTGAGAAACACTCTCTAGTATGAAGTGAGGCAAGAGACAAATTCTTTGCCTGTCATTTCCTTTCAAAACCCAATAATTTGTCTTTTTTGGCTCAGGGAAAGCACTAACCTTTGATTCCCTCCATACTTTAAAGGCGGATGACTCTGCGCTGTCAGGGACAAAGTGGACTTGAGATAATAGAAATATTGTTAGCATGCCAAATAATTTGTTCTGCATCTTTTGTAAAACTCTTGGTTTCTCTCTATACCAAGTATTATAAAAGAAGTTCAGTGCAGTTATTAATGTAGCAAGGAGATTGAAGATGATTGTGGCAGTGAAAAAGCAAGGTGATTCCTGGAGGAAAGCCTTGGAGCCAAGATACCTACCTGGCACGGAAGGAGTTTATGAGTAATTATTATGATTGTTATTAATTATATATCTTAGGCTCAAAATGGAAACGATGAAAGAGGTCTGAGATCAGTTGTTTTTAAAGCAAACTTTTAAGTAATTTTAGGCTTGATTGGATCAGTGACCCTCATCAGCAGTTGGGGTGAGAGGATGTGTGGAGTTGCATTAAGCCATTTATTGGGTCTCATCTACTTTCCCAAAGTTGCTACTAGCTCAGGAATGATAGCATTTGGTTCCCCTACCTACAGAGTTAATGGTGCAAGTGCAGGAGGAGAGGGTGTTAGAGCAGAAATCATTATCCATGGAAGAAGAGTTTATACACTCTGGCAGTGTTGCCCCGTTTTTGGACTGCCTCTTCCTTCAACTGTTTTAAAGTTTAGTTGGGGGCGGGTGTTTCCTCAATTTGGGAGATCATTCCCACCCCTATTGCAGCCATTGTTCTAATGTCTGATGCAGAAGCTCCTGAGAGATGGAAATTGTTTGGACTGGTTAGAATGCAGAAGATTCAAAGTGCTTGTTACACCTGACCCTCCCTCCCTCTCTCTTTCTCTCTTTCTTTCTCTTTCTCTCTCTTGCTGGGTTTGAGAGCAATAGAAACCATTGCTTATGGAAGAAGAAACCACTTTTTCACATATAGCAGGAAGAAAAGCCATAGAAATGCCTGGACAGGCTTCTGTGCAGTCACTTTTTGGCATTAGCATGAAGCCTTTTGCTGTGAGTAGATAACACATCTGGAGAAAACAACATATAGCAACTTCCACTCTTTGAAACTATGTAGAGTAGAAATGTCTAATAAGTCATGGGAGAAGAAAGTAGATCTAAGTCCTTCCAGATCAGCCTTTTTAGTTCTGCACCTTGGAAGGTTTTATAGTTGAAAGGCCAGCCATACCCAGGACAGTCTGTACAAGTTTCTGACTAAGGAATCTACTTTCTGACAGCGTTTGACTCCCATTCATGTGCTACCTTTAATACCAGTGGGCTATTGTCATCCTATTAACGGGTGTACCATCAGTCATAATTTGGAAATCTCTTGTGGGCCTCTCTCTTGAGGTACAAAACAACTTCAGACTGTGCTCACTCTCTTCAGGTTCTTAGACAAATGTTATATCTATAAATAGGCACTGGTTCCATTGTTCTAACTCCCAGTTGCTGCCAATAACATGCAATCTTACTATTGCAAGCAGATTCAGTACAAAGGGAAATACATTTTTAAATTTGAGGTGAGTAGATAGCAAGGAATGCTTCTAGAGTGAACCAAAAGCGTGTTGATGCCCTCTTCTAAATTTGACTACCTCAATCTGCCATTGTCCAGATACGTTGGACTAAAGCTCCCATAATCCTCAACCGGCAGGGCTGCATGAAGTTGTGCTCCAGCACAGTTAGAAGTGAGCAAGTTGAAGGCTGCTCTAAGTGCCTGTGGCCAAAATCTGAGGGTCATAACAAAATGACTGCTTAAAGATGTTCATGGAGTGCACCAAGACTAAATGGATTGCTTTTTTTGATGTTAACTGTGGAAGAGGCATTTTGTTATAGTTTGTGTCATCATTTTGAGGGTCACATCGAAGAAAAAGGAACCATTTTTTAAAGCCTGTCTAGTTGGCATTTCACTTTCATGGCACGGCAAGGTAATAGGGTAATTCCCCTCCCTCCCCCGTGCTTTGCTTGGAATTTTACTTCTCCCAAGCAGTTTTGCAATAGAGCTATCTTGCCTTTGTTTCAGCGAGCATGGATGCCTTGTCGATCTAAGGGTTTGGTCCAACACATGGTTCCAGGAAGAAATGGCATATCAGTTGAACTGAAGTGAAACATAAGCTGCCCCCCCCCACTTCGTCTCTCATTTTCTCCCTTCTCCTTGCCTTTAATCTGCCTATTGGTACATCATGTTAGTTTTTTGCTTTGGTGTCAGAATTGAAACTGGTATTCCTTTTAGCAATCACATGTACCTTCATCTCACCTGGCTATTATATGTACCCTGGATGAACTCTAGGCTTGTCTGGGCTGTTAGAAATCTTCTGAAATAAGAGCATGATCCACCATTAAAGATTATTTAAGTAAACTGAGTCTTTGTACTTCTGATTGAAACCATTTCTCCTCCTTGCTGGGCTTCCAGGCAGATAATAAAATCACTTTTCTCCAAAGGCTGGATTTTGAAGAAGGAACTTTCATCCTCTAGGTAACAGTTATCTCTAGAGGTCAAAATTATTATTTTTAATAAGCATGAGTTTAGTAGCTCCTTTGCACACACCTGTCAGTCTTTCCTTGGAGAGGATGGTTAGCATTGTGAAGAAGTATTTCTTCTTCTAATACTTCTGGAGGATTTCCCCACAGGGCAAAGGCAGTAGAGATACGCTGTTTTTCTTACTCCATGTTTGCGGGGGGGGGGGGTGTCTGCACAGGTGTGCTTGTGACTATGTCTGAAAAAAAATGTAACATGAGAAGATTATAAATTGAAATTTTCCTCTGGGTCACCCTTAAAATTCCCTAGTTGAGTTAGGCCAGTGGTTCTCAACCTTTTTAATGCCACGACCCCCAACCGGTCGTAAGTCGAGGACTACTCAACTGGTGCAGCCCCGTTTGCAGAATGGGACTTTTGGTGGGCTCAGCAGGGCAGAGTCAGCCTGGACAATTCCTATTGGCTTTTGAAAGCCAATAGAATTAGACTCTATTCAAGAGAGTCTATTATATTGGCTTTCAAAAGCCAATAGAATAAAAGGGAGTAGCACAGCTAAGGAAAAGGGGAAAAAATGGCGGACTGCGTTGTTTGGCAACCCCCGTGAAATGGTCGTTCGACCCCAAATGGGGTCCTGACCCACAGGTTGAGAACCACTGAGTTAGGCAGAATAAAAGCTTTGATTGGCAGCATCACAGATGAAGCTTCTCAAGCAACCAGAGAGGTCCTCACTATACCTATCAAAAGAAAGATACTTGCCATTGATGTTATTTAGCTGCTTTCATACTGTATAGTTTAGTTGGATTCTCAGCCTCAGGAACTTTAAAATGTGTGGATTTCAATTCTCGGCATTCCCCAGCCATATCTTGAGAGGCAGTTTGATCTAGTGGTTAAGGCACCAAACAAGAAAGCAGGATGCTGTGAGTTCAATTTCTGCCTTGGCCATGAAAGCCAGCTGGGTGAATTTGGGCCAGTCACTCTCAGCCCAACCTATCTTATCACAGTGTTGTTGTAGGGGAAAAAAAGGAAGAGAAAGATGTGTTGAGTATGTTCGCCACCTTGAGTTATTTGTAAAAATAATAAAGCCATGATATAAATAAATGTTTAACCATTTGATGATGATGATGATGAAACTTACTGATCATATTTCCATATAGAAAACTAGATACATGCTTGCCAGAACCTCTTCACACATACTGTTCATGCTGCTCTTATTCACGCACACCGTTACAACAATCTCGCTCCCAGTCATGTTTTCTCCTCTTCTGCAAATACTTAAAAGAACATCCCTCTTGTTGATCCTGATGGATTTTTTTTTAATTGCAACTTTGGGAAGGGTTAAACCGCTAAAGGATGGGTTGATGCTTCCCTCACAAATTGTGACCACCTAAACAATAACTGCCATTTAAAAAACATTCTTACCTAAGGCATATGGGAAGATGTGCAGGAAGACTGTGACATGAAGGCAAAAGGTATTGTACTTTGTGGTAACATTCTTCATCTCCTTAAATTAACAGCATAGGGTTATGCAACTGTAGCTGGTCCACAATCCTGCATACAACCATGCTGCAAAATGTCTTCAGATACAAAGCAAAACAGAATAACAGTTGGAAGGGTCCTTGGAAGTCTTCTAATCCATCCCTCCCCTGCTCAAGGAGGAAACCCTGTATCCTTTCAGACAAATGGTTGTCCAATCTCTTCATAAAACCTCCAATGTTGGAGCACCCACAGCTTCTGGAAGCAAGTCATTCCACTGATTGTTCTCACTGTCAGGAAATTTCTCCTTAGTTCTATGTTGCTTCTCTCTTTGGTTAGTTTCCATCCATTGCTTCTTGTCCTGCCTTCAGGTGCTTTGGAAAATAGGTTGACTCCCTCTTCTTTGTGGCAGCCCGAGATGTTGGAACACTGCTATCATGTCACTCCTAGTCCTTTTCATTAAACTAGACATGCCCAATTCCAGCAACCATTCTTCATATTTTAGCCTCCAGTCCCCAAATCATCTTTATTGCTCTGAATGGCCCTAATGAATACCTACACAAAAAAGCGCTAGTGCTTCATAGATATGGGAAATAATCTTACATAAGAAAGAAAAGCTTAGTAATAAAAACAGAACCCTGGATTTCTACCTATTGGTGTTCAGTTTGTGCCATCCCCAATTACACAGTACTGTTAAAGCTTGAAAGAAGTAAATGAATGTGTAGATATCTATTAACTATCTTGCTGTGAATTCCTCCCTCTGGAAATCATTCATACCAAGAGTTTTTAACCTGAAGGAATGAACAGGTAAGAAAAAGGATAATGAATTTAATAATGTCAAGAACATTTCCAAATTGGAAAAAAAGTGAGTAACACATGAACAAAGGCTTCCAGGCAACTGAAGAAAACAAACTTGTTGCCACTGTAGGTGCTATTGCTAATGGAGATAAGGAAATATTGGGGCAGGTCCGAATCCCTCTTTCAAATAGATTGAATTGCAAGATTAAAGTAGTTGTCAAATCATTGGTCAGGATTCATAAGATAAGATAATGACCTTTATTGTCATTTTTTTACTGTGGGCACAACGGCACACATCAAAAATGAAATTTAGTTGCCCACTCTCAAAGTGAAACACATACATGACTGACATCTAAACATACTATGAACAACATATGTATAGACCCACATCCCTACATACGTAGCAAATATTAAATATTGTCCATCTTGAATATATAACGGAAGGAGGAAGCTTGAGAGTTCGCAAGGTTAATGCTGTATGGAATGAAACGATGGCTGAATCTGGATGTTCTGCTACGGATACCACGAAGCCTCCTCTCAGAAGGTAACAAGGAAAACAGGTCATGAAGAGAATGTGTAGTGTCCCAGATAACCTTATGGACCCTGCTCAAGCAACACTTCTGTGCTATGTCCTGGATGGGAGGGAGGGAACAGCCAATGATCTTTTCGGCCATTCTCACCACTCTCTACACCGCCGTCCTGTCTGAAGCAGTGATGCTTCCAAACCAGACTGTGATGCTGTATGACAGGATGCTCTCGATCATCCCCCTGTAGAAAGTGGTCAGGACAGGGGAAGGAAGATGTGCTTTTCTCATGCGATGCAGAAAATGCAGGTGCTGCTGTGCCCGCTTTACCAGTTTCTCACTGTTGAGCAACCAAGTCAGCCTACTCATTAGCTGCACACCCAGGAATTTGACATCTCCACAGGTGAATCATTAATGCATAGAGAAGTGTGGCTGTGCCTGCCTTTTCTGAAATCAACAATGATCTCTTTGGTTTTTCCGATGTTTAAAACTACACCTAAACCATGTCTACTGGTTTAGACCAATATTGTCTAATGAAGTGTTTCTCAAGCTTGGCCCCTTAAAGATGAGTGAACTTTATCTCCTAGAATTCCTCAGCCAGTTTATCTGTCTGGAGAATTCTGGGAGTTGAAGTCCACCCATCTTCAAAGGGCCAAGGTTGAGAAACACTGGTCTAATATAATTGGCAGTGCGTCTCCATGGTTCCTGATCATGTACTACTTGACCTTATGAACTGAATATCTCTGAATTCAAGACTGCATTCACACAAAGACTAAGCTCTGCTACTAATAGGTAGATTTTGATGTACTTGTTATTGGGCAAGTAAGCCATTGTCTTGAAACTATTAACTACTTGCTGTGATAAACTCAGTTGTATACTAATGCAACTTTCCTCACTTGCTATGTGATTATATTGACAATCTGTGTAGCAGTTACTATATTTATTTTATTATTTTGCAAACATGGCCTTAGAGTTAAAGGGCTGATGTTCAGATCAGTTGTGGTATTGCAGATTCATATGCAAATTGCTTAGGGCTTATCTTAGTACCCCATCTATAAAGACAATCCTGTATACAAATTGGGAAATGTTTCACAAATTAAAAAAAAGTTTCATAAATTATAAAAGGAAGACACAAAAGTTTTTTTTGGGGGGGGGGGGGAAATGGCAAAATACTGTGCCAGTAATGACCAGAAGGTGGCGTTCCAGAGATGGTGGTACAAAATATCAGGACTTGGAATAGAGCAGGTATGATTTTCAGTTGAGTTTTGAAATTGACTGAAATATGAAAATTAAAACTTCATGACCTGTTCACAGGTATAGAACCTGATTTATAAGAAATTAGAAACATTATAAAATCATGATTCTCCTCCCAATCTGATTCTAATGAGAAAACATGTAACATTTGCAGAAATGCTGGTAAAAATATTTCAGGAAATAGTTAGTTGGATGAAAATAGATGCATTCTTTTTAACATAGTTTTGCTCACTGATAATGTAAACTTTGAAGATTTTTAGGTAAGATACTATTGCATTTAAAGTCTGGCACAACACATTGTTTAAAGCAGTGGTAGTCAACCTGGTCCCTACCGCCCACTAGTGGGCGTTCCAGCTTTCATGGTGGGCGGTAGGGGTTTTGTCCGATACTGAAGCACTTTCCTTTTTTTTAATTTAATTTGACTTTTTAAAAAATTTTCATAGCATTATTTAAAAACATTTTCATTAGGTTTTCATAAAATTCCCCGTGACAATTTAAATTTCTGAAAATATACTATTTGTATCGCCCGCGCATAAGTTTAGTTCACATTACATAAGTGAAACTAAATAACGCTATAGTGCGAACGCAAACAAGAGAGTCTCGTCTCAAAATAGCTCGCGCATCTCCCCCCACACCACCCAGCTGTAACAGACAACCAGAGCTGGTAGCTGGCACCCCCCCCCAACCCAATCCACGATGCGCGAGAGAGGCATGCGCAGACAACGATACAAGGTGCAGGCTCTTTTGTTTGCGGTTGCACTGGTCAGTATGCAGTTAGATTTGAGAGTGAGCACGTGCCTACAGCTTCAAACAAAATACTGTGAGTCCATGTCTCAAA